CTAACTCCTAGAACTCCTGGTATAAATTCATCTTTTTTTCTTTTTTTTGCTGCATGGCTTCTCTACTTTAGCATAGCTTAAGTCCCTAAAGAATCTTATTAATTGCCGTAGAGCATCAATTTTATGAACTTATTCAATTAGAATTGGACTGGAGGGGGTGTCGGGTAACAATTTTTAAAACTATTTTTTGATGCCCACTAAAAAAATTATTTAGCTCCAAGGCCCCATTCCCCGTAGTTATTAATACTTAATACGGTCCAAAAAACGTCCTTCAAAATAAAATTTAAAATTGCAATTTGAAGAAGAAAATAATCGTAGCTATTACAGAGTTTATTAGTTCAGTTTGAAATTCATACATCTCTTAAGCAGTGACATAAACGTCATCAAAGGCCAAGGTTATCGTAATGATAAACGAAGTATTATGAAAATGGCTGGTAAAAATTGGATGCATCAGTTGCGATGTGAGCATGTCAGATGAATTGCACTACTGAAAAATCGGTCTCGCATGTCGGCGATATATGGAGCCAGTCTGATTGTAGTGTGCAGTCTTTCACATCGTAAGTAGAATGTCTCAATTTAATGGAGAATTCTTAGCTGGCACTGGGTTAAACTAGTGGTACTGAGTGGTTCTCCAAGTGGGTGGTGTTGCCCAGGGGGCGCTGAAAGGCATTATTGGGAAAGTGTTCTTTTTTAAAATTTATAATTCAAATTATATATCTCAAAGAAATTGTAGGCCCTATTTATGGTTTTGGTTTGAAGTGACAAAGAAGAGTCAATATTTTTCATTGATTTCTTTGTCAAAATATTTGTTGATGGATAAAAAGAAAATCAGAAATGTTAGTCTAAATTACTAACAATCGGGGAAGTGTTAACCTACCAGCAATTAATGAGTTTCTGAGTTCATAGACACAAGGCTGAATATATGGATATTTGTTGTACAGCATGGTGCTGGATGAAAATGAATCTTTTTTTTTTTTTTTTATTAAATCAAGACAATGAAAAATGTTAAAATTTTAAAAATGTAAAGTGTACTGCTTTACAGAAAAGTTTAGTTAATGGAGAAAAAAAAAATAAGATTTACAATACAGTACAATAATTTACAATACAATGCAATACAAATTTGTTTTTTATCATTTTGCGTAAAGTCAAAATTGGTATTAAATGTTTAATTTTTTGCAATAAAAGTCACAACAAATTTTTTTTTTAATTTAGTGGATTTTTGTCTTTCTGTTTGTGTATGGTTTGTATGTACTGTATTTTTTTCAATGGCTCTATTTATTTAGGTTATCAGTATTTTATTTTCAATGTGGCATGACTTAGTTGCCTTGAAACCAAACTCCCTTCACAGATCACATATATTTGCTCCCACTCAATCATTACGTCTGTACTTAAATGAAGAAATGATACAGTACAAACAATAGTTAACTGTACAGGTACCAACAAGGAAGGTGAGAAAGTAAAAGGAGACAAATGGCAAAGGAATGATGTAACCTAATTGAATGATTTAAATGGCTGCCTACTCCATACTGGCCCCTAATTTATTTTATGGATTACTTGAGTACGCAACTCAAATAACTAACAACCAAACAAAAATGTTTGCAAGTCAGTGAAGGGTTTTTTTTCTATTAAATTATGTACCAGTGTGTTAGACCCAGCAGACAGATATGGTAAAAAAAAAAAAAAGACTAGTCCTCCAAAAATAAGTCTCCTCATACTTTATACAATGGCATCCTTTAACTTTAAGATGTTCATTGCAACTACCTTGTGAATTAGGTCAAGTCAAATGAGAAAGGTTGTTGAAAGGAGATTCAAGATATCAGGAATAACAGTTAGTGTCCACATGTATGACACCCAGTGCCAAGGAAAAGGTTTAAAATTGGTAGTTTTGCTCTGACTAAGCCAAGCTCTCTAGAGGAATAGTTGAAATAAATTCATTATGAATGAAATTTTCATTATTTAGAATACCTAATTAATTCATAAAGTACTGTGTGATTAAATCTTTTAACTTAAACAATACACATAAATAATCTTAAATAAAGGATTTAATTTTAATAATTAAATTAATATTATTACTTTTCTAAAATTCAAATAAAAACAATAAATGTATCTAAATCATCTTCATTACTAGATTAAAACAAAATAATAATTGATCTCCGAAAATGGCTTAAACTAAAAAAAGAAAATAAGAAAGAAAAAAATCTACCCGTACTAAGAGAAATTAACAAAGCAAAAATAAAAAAAACAACTAAAAATAATAAAACTATGAATCAATCAAATAAACAAGGAGAAAAAATAATTTCAAAAATTATTCTCATAATATTATTGTTATCACATTCGGCTTCGAAGCCATTTAATATGTACGGAGCCACTCCGGGTGCGAATTGTCATTGGCGACCATAGGTACCCGGGTACCTATAGATGCAGCCTTTAGTTAATGGAGAAAAAAAAATTCAGCTAAAGTTATTGCAATTGATGGAGCACCATCAAGGTTTTAACCATGCATTGTTGCCCAATATTGGGAGGGGGGTGGTGGTGTCAGTGCCAAATGTCTATAACTTACGTCTTATTCTTTGTGTCATTGATCACTCACATCTGGTAAAAATCTAAAAATTTCATTGCACTTAATTACTGCAGTTAGAAATCTAATTAAATTTTTGGACACAATCAAAATGATTGACTATTCCTGACACTGTGTTAAAAGCAACAAAGTACAAATTACTGCTTTTTACTAAGGTTTGTTGAAATAATAATAGTAAATTCTTCTCATGGTGTTGACTTTACTCAGGACACTTTATCATAAATTTGCAGTTGCAAAGGAATGAGACAACCTTATAAAAATCAAACCGTTAGTCTGTTAGTAGTGTTATTTACTTTGGAATAAAAATTATAACTCCATTTAAACTCAATTTAGGGATGACACAAGTTATATTAATTTACTAGCCATTCACTTCATTCAGAGTTAGAATTTTAAAATGATTTTCAAAATAAGTATCTGGTAGAGTGGTTAGACAATTTTCTATGTATGGAAATCACAGATTGGGATAAAACATCTATTTATGATTAATGCAGTTGTTAACTAAAGCTTATTCAGCAAAAATGAAGTAAATTGTTACCAAGGATTTGCCGTCAGTATGAATTTATGTACAGTGGAACCTTTCATAACGAGCACCTCTCATAACAAGTAATTCGCATAACGAGAAAAAAAAAATGTGAAGAAGTTGCTCCCTTAACGAGCGATATTTCGCATAACAAGTTACGCAGAAAGGGGAAGTCCCTTTTTCCTGACATTCATTTTTGAGCCGGGTCTTCCGCGCTGATACATTAATCCAGCAGTTCTCAATCTGTGGGACATGACCCCTTTGGGGGTAGCGCGGCCCTTTCCCAGGGGTCGCCTTAGACTATCTGAAAACACATATTCTTACAGCAATAAAATAGCAACGAAAATAATTAGGTTGCTGGGGGGTCGCCAAGACACGAGAAACTGTATTAAAGGGTCGCAACACTAGGAAGGTTGAGAACCATTGCATTAGTCTTTGTTTAGCACTCTGTTAGAGTATTGTTTTCGTGTGTGATCACCAGTTTTTACAAATTTTGTATTCAGACAGTATTCGTAATTTTTTTTATGTGCAAAGTGTAATAACCTATGCTAAAATGTCTTCGAAAAAAAAAAAAAACACGAGAAGATAATCATAAAAGAGAAAAAATAACTGTTGAAATGAAACGTAAAATCATTGAAAAGCGAGAACAAGGTGTGAGCGTGGCTATTCGTGCTATAAAGTTATTCAATGATAATGCTGTGACACATTTTCGTCAAATTTTGAAGCGTCTGCAAAAACAAATGTCTTTTAGACAGTTTTCTAGTTAAAAAGGATTAATTATTTGTCATAAATTCATATTTTTATATACGTTTTTTGTTTCAAATCTAAATTGTATTCCAAGTTGTTACACTCCTTAACAATTCATAAGTAATTTTATTTGAATAAATGTTAATAAATTTTTTTTAAAAATTAGTATTTTTTCAGCATGGAACACACTATCGTATTTTACATTGATTTGAATGGGAAAAATTGTTTCGCTCAACGAGTGTTTCCCTTAACGAGTAAGAGTCTGGAAAGAATTAAAATCATTACGAGAGATTCCACTGTATTAGTAATATCATCTTCTCCACAGTGGTTGGCTCCTTGTATTATCTTCACTATGTTTGGTGAAAGAGATTTTAATCAGATATGACAAACCTGCTTTGTTAAAAGTTAAGATACAGTATATAAACTTGAACACAGAAGTTTCTGCTAGAGTATGTGTGGGAAAACTACAAATGCGGCCTGGCAACTGATGTTATGGGGCTCTCGAAGTCATTTAGAAATTTTAAAAATTACTTTGTTTTTAGTTATTTTGTTGAATTTTACAGAATTTCATGTACTGGTACATTTGTTTTAAAATTTTTGATAAACTTTCTAATTTTTTTTAAACAGTCCTTGACTTTTGTCATGTAATGCTAAAATGCGAATTTACCGATTTTAATATATACATGCAGCACCCCACCCCCCAATATCTTTACATTTGTCAATGTGGCCCTCCGCACAAAAAGTTTGCCCACCCCTGTGCTAGAGAGTTAAAACCAGGTCTTAAAAAATACGTTGTCTACCAGTACTAAGCCAATGCCTTTATCACATTAAGAAAATTTATCAATGAAGACATTAAATTATCCAGCTTATAATTGAATTAATAAAATAAAGATTCATTAGTTATTTTGATTAATTGTTCAAATATATGTTAAAATTTTGCATGTCATTGTAATTATCTTCCATAATCATAGCGGGTCGTGAACATGTATTCTTAAAATGCTTATAATATAATTGGGCTCGACAGGGAGGTTAGGGAGTCTATGGGGCAATGGCCGGAAAAAGTTTGAGAACCACTGTATTAAATTATTAATGATGAAGGCAGAGTAATTAGTTTTACATAGCTTTTCGTTAATTTAATCTATAATAAACGTTAACATACATTTAAAAATACACGCTAATAATTTGGAAAAAATACTTTGAAACGATTTATTTTTTAAAAATTGTCAGTCATAGCAAACAGGACCTGAAAGATGTGTGAATGTAGAAAAATGATAAATATCAAGGATGACATTTCAAATGAATACTAAAACTCTCTCAGTCACATACAAAATAATTGCTTAATATAACAACATGCAAACAATTTCAATAATTTAAGCATATGGAAGCTTCACACAAATTCTAATACAGACTTAAGTTTATTAAAAAAAAGTTTTCACAAATTAGTGGCCATCTTAGAGTTGAGACTAAACAGCCTCAGGTTTATTTTTGTATAATAAGGGAAGTTTTCATTTAACATTTATTTGTAGGATCAACTTTGACTTTTTTGCTCGGTTATGACCATGCTAAAAATGATCCCCTTCTTCATGTTACAGCAAGTTCAAGTGGCCAACTGAAATTAGATCAACAAATAAATTAACGCATACTCAAAATAAGCCTCTCTTTAAAAAAATGAGCATTTCCATTTTCTCTTCTATGCAACAGATGTACAGAATGTGATTGTTTAATACAAAGAAAACTCTTAATTCCAATCAAAACAATTCTTAAGCATCACAAATCAATCATCCATGGCTCCTGATCTGTAGGCATCTTGGTAAGATTGGCCACCTTGCTTCTCAGCCACTAGTTTGATCATGTCATCTATGCGCAGTATGGTGATGGCAGCCTCTGTTGCAAACTTTAAAGATTTTATCTTTGAAATGGCAGGCTCTAGGACACCAGCTTTTTTATTGTCACGTACAACACCTTCATACAAGTCAAGTCCCACCCTGTATAGATATGCAATAGATTTTAAAATTTGCTAGTATCATTTTACTTCAAAATGTAAGAAGTAATAATGAAAAATTGATTGCAATAAACAAATATTTATGGTGAAAATTTCGCATTTAGATTTGTTAAAAATCATTTTATTTTTAAAATTTAAACCATCAATAAGCGTAGGAAGACTACAATGCTTATTAGACTGTTTTCTGGCTCAGTTTAAAAGTGTAAATTTCATTTTTTCAAACTTACCATCTCAGATCATTGTGCTCAGCACGTGTCTGTGATGTGTTGTGGAAGGCTCTAAGTTTGGCTACCAGATCAGTAGAATCTTGGGCGGCATTAACAGCCAACTGCTTGGGAATAACCAGGAGAGACTGGGCGAATTCAGCAATAGCTAATTGCTCTCTGCTTGCCTAACAGAAAAAAAACATAGCATTCTGTAGTTAATTCCCATCATCTGTATTGTTCAAAAGAATAAACTTTTCATATATTTGTTACATAGTACTTTTATTAGTAATATTAGGCAGTCCAAAATCCCTTATAAAGTTATAGGTTTAAAAAAAAATCCCACTTCTAGTTGTGATACAGGGACAACATTTAAAATTATATGTGAATAAAGTCTTTATCTGGCTAAATATGTTACCATTGTGTCTGCAACTTGTGTTTAAAAGTGTATTGTGTGTGTAAAGTATCAGTTTTTACAAATTTTATTTGCGTTTTCACAAGGGCAGATTTATACCATGGTGTTTCAAATGCCTGCGACTTCTCGTCTATTTAAGTTATTCGAATAATTCTACAACCATAAGAAAGAGCAGATGCTGGTGTGTAGAAAGTATATCTTTCTTGCTTATTTTATTTTGAAAAAGCCAGTTGAAAAACTTTTGTTTGGGTGAAAACAGAGAATTTATTTCTTTCTTTACAGTGTGGGGAAAGTTAAAGTATTTAATTTCATAAGATCAAATGAGTGGACATGATAGGTGCAAAGCTGCAATGTTTACAAAAACACCACTATTTCCAGACCTACGGTGCTAGCACTAGATGGGCGACACATGTATGGTCACTACTACCAGTGCTATGGCGGGAGCAAAGACAATGCTACAGAAAGGATTGTCCTGAGACTTAAATTTGACATCTGTTAAGTTAATATTTCTATACTTTTCAAACATATACTTCTTTCCTTATAAAAATAAATAAAATATCGTGTTGAGGGTACATTTGCACCTATTTTAGCATCTGTAAATGTTTCTTGATGCCATTAAGTCAAAGTGCATGTTGTGCTGCTTAATGATTATGCAAGTCATTGACAAATTATTTTTTTTTTTTTACAAATTCTTGAAATTGTGTATTTTTACACTTTTTTCAGTCGAAAAATAAAAAGACTAAAAAACACACTTATTTTATTTTAAATTTTGAATGAATGGTTCTAACTGCAAAATTAGGCTTAAATACCGGGTATTATAAAATTTGGAGCAATACACCAATTCCTGTACTTCTGTTATGTTAGATAATATAGGCAGACCTGCCAACCCTTCCGATTTTGTCGGAATTATACGGATTTTTTACCCCTCATTCCGACAAACCCATTAAAATTCCGATTTTTCAAACTTTTTAATTTTTCACCCTTCATAAAAATCCGAAACCGATAAAAAAAAAAAATCGGGTGTGACAGGAAGTGTTGCATTTGTTTTTACATGTCTAAGCCTACATGTCCAGTGACCGGATGAATAAGTGAATAAATTCTCGAAATATTCTTCCAGCTAGTGTTAATTCGACCCAGTCACATGACCACTGTAACAGAGTTGCGCGACCGATATTTGTCCATCAGCCCACTTCCCCCCTGCGTGCAACCCCCCTACATATTTTTTTTTCTTGGCAGGTCTGTATAGGTCCTTAAAAATGGCCTTTTTCTGAATCAGTCTGCTAAATAAAAATAGTTTCAATAAATTTGATTTGTCTCAGAAATTAATACATAGCACAACTATTTATTGCTATACCAACCAATGAGGTAGCAAAGTTCTCAAGGTAGATGGACAAGGCAGCCTCCACAGCACCACCACCTGCCACAACCTTCTTTGACTCAAGCACTCGCTTAACCACACAGAGTGCATCATGTATAGATCTTTCCATTTCATCCACCATATAATCATTGGCACCACGCAAAATTATCGAAGCAGCTGACCTGGCTTTGGGACTAAAATAAACAAACCATTAGAGAACATAATAAAAAATATATGTATCAAAATAGCATTGAATTCTGTTAAGTTAAATAATGGAACCCTAAGAAAAAAAAAAATCTTTTTTGACATAATTCAAGTAATATATGAAGTTTTAAACCTTTGGGTGATTCAAATTTGTTGTAAGTCATTGTGAGCAGTTTACACCATAAAACAAATGATTTAAAACCAAAAGTTTATGAAAAGTCTTAATGCCCAGATATCCTGTCTCCCGTAGTATATACAAACGCAGCGATTACAATGAGCTGGTCAGCAAGTTGTAAGGGAGGTTTAAAAGATAATGAATTCTAGCTATTAATTTGAACAATATTCCTGACATTTCCACAAAACATACTACATTAAATTTTTTAATTTAACTACAAAAATTAAGACAAAATATTTATCTCAAAGAATACACAGCGACTGAAAAACATGAATGATACAAGGATGAAAGGTCATGTTTTAGTAAAAGCTTGAGCACAAATTAACAATATAGTAGACTTAACCCACGAACATGCATTATTCTGTGGTGTGGAGCTTTTCAGAGCATTTTGAGTGACATTTGAAATTGCATTAAATGACATAGAAATATTGATACAATGCCCCAATAATTATATATTTTTAGAAAGGTAAATGGATGGGGATAAAGTTGGCCCTATTGACCACCCCATAAATTTTTTTTTGCTCAGTGTCCTTGACCTTGGAATTCTCAAGGAAAAAAAAATCAACCAAATGTCTTGCTTTCAAGAGCTCATAACATCATTGATTTTTATAGATACACTTAAAACAAAAATCTAAATGATGTAGCCAATTCATTTATCTTTCAGAAAATGTATAGTTTGCAAGGTTTTGATTGCAATTAACATCTGAAAGCAATTTTAGTAATTTTAGGTCATTTATATAAGAAACTGGGGCCACTGCTAAAACCAAGTACAAAATACAAAATCTAAGGCAAAATAGTTATTATTGACTAGTAAACATTTAAAAATGAACTGTGGAACTGATTTGGTTTGTTTAACTATAAAATTTATTAGTTCTGAACTATAATCTGTAGATTCTGTGACTAAAATTCAGTCAGTCCTTGTCCAACCGCCGGGCATGGCTCGAAGTCTAACAGTAGCCTCATTAGGCCTACTTCAGTATGACTATAAGTAGTAAAAAATTCACAAAAAGAATAATCTCAACTGATATTGTCATGAGGAATGTTAAAATCAACATCAGTATCTTTTAAAACCTCTCCTAAAAAGCTTTCAAACATATTTCTATTAGTTCTTGCACTGGAGGCCCAGCCATAGCGTCATCCAATTTAGCTTTAAAAAAAAATAGCGATATAAAACTCTGATTAAAAAGTATTTATTTTCCCGTTACCACGAAACAGCTTGAACCGGAAGATGATTTAACTATTAATAAAAAGGAAGTGGCTATAATTCCTGATAAATATTGGATTGGAAATTGCTTTCAGACCGTGTTTTTTATCGGCTGCCACAGTACAGAACGAGAATGTCGGCCGATTTTTTCGGCCGACCACAGTTCGTGGGTTAAGCCTTCAAAACAGGACTACATCAAAAATTATTTTATCCCCAAATGACATATACTGACTTTCTATTTTCCCCCAAATCTAAAAAAAATACTTTTCATGAAATTCCGGTACAATAAAGCTCTTCTTCCTCCATTTCTGCTATTCGTTTTTAAAAACAAATATTTTGTTAGAATCTACCTGAAAATGTGACTTTGAACAATCTGGTTAAATATTCAACCGTACCATTATGTATAATAAAAGAAAAAACTTTAACAATCATGTGATAATTTTTTTCTTGACCTACAAGTTAACTATTCAAATTTAAAATAAACTACAAAGTGGATGCTAACAGAGATGAAATCAAACAATTATATCTAAACATATTTGTGAGCACATTCAGCTATACCACATGATTAAAACCAGATGGAGCTTACTAAACAAGTCCATGCATAATGTCTCCCATTAGTATATACTAGCAGAGCCAAATAAGAGCCTACTAGGAAGTTGTAAGGGAACAAAGAAACCCATGCATGTTACAGTTGTTTACATCAGTATATCTATCAGAACTAACCCTTTAATGATGGTCAACTCATCATCACAAATTCTCTCCTGGATGACCTCATCTGCTTGTCCAAGGTAGGATGGCTCAAAAGATTCCTCTCCCTCCAGATTAGCAAGGGTCATCAAAAGTGTGGCTTTGAGAAGTGAGAAAGAAAATCTGATAACACATTTACATATTTAATTATGGAGTTTTGTTTTCAAATTTGATGTCAAAGTAGTGCATGGGTATTTTGTCTTACTCATAACCTAAAGATAGCAGTTTCTTACTTTGTCTGGGGCTGCCCCCAGCAAGGGGTGGAATCACTGGCATAGCTAATTTATGGCCTCTCTGGGAGGACCAAGAATTTTGCTGCCGCTTTTAACAGAAAAAAACTAAAGCAATTGGGAGAAAATGCAACCCTTCACATAAAGAAAAAAATTAACACCTCTCCATTCCCCACTTCCTACGCCACTGGGTGGAATTAACTGGTTAGCTTTGAAATGCATTTTTCGGGTGGTGGTAAGCACTGAGTAGGGATGTAAATATTGTTTTAGGGCTTTTTTTAAACTTGTTTTATTGAGCTTAAACTTAAACAACTTGCTGGCTGTAAAAAAACTTGCTTCTCATGGTGAAATTCTATAATCCACTGACGCCCACTGGTTTCAGTATATGCATGGAATTAGCCTTGCTTTGAGTTAATTCTAAAATTAGATGACATAGCCCATTTGTTACAAGTTGTTAGAAACATTTGCTTGTAAATATTTCATGGGGGATTCGAAACTAGGATTTGTAACTTTAAAAAAATGCAAAGCTCATATAAAGTTTAAAGGTTTTTTCTACAGGCCGTTATATTCCTTTGTGTTTTTTAAACTTAATAAGCATTTTATTAGCTAGTTATCTATATCAAGGGATAAGCAATTGAAAATGAAACATCTAGTAGCAAGTGACCATCCTCAAAACTGACCGTAACACTATTGTTCATATATTAAAAGACAACAACAATTAAAACGATGAAAACCTACTCTTTTTTTGTGTAATTCAATTTAAAATATATATTTTATTAAATTAATTTTTATCCCAGGATGAGGGTGACTTTCGTTCCCATTTTCAGGGATTAGTAAAAACCAAGAAAAGGAGAAACCCTATTTATAACCCTACCAGTTAAATTAGGAATATATCCATAACATAAAAATAAAATTGACTAAAAGTGCCAATAACTTAAAGTAATAAAATGCGTGGCAGCTATTTATAATATAGAACAACTAACCTGTTAATACATCTTCTTTAAAAATTAGTTCAATTGAACAAGAAATGTCTGCATACTTAAAGCAGCAATAAAAATGTAAATGTATAAATGAAATAAACCGACCTCCAGTGGCCTTAGCTATCCTCTTCAGATCTGTCTTCTTACACCGCCTCACAGCCATGGCCCCTGCCTCAACAAAATATTTGAGACACAAATCATCAATGCCACCTGTTACTAAGATCACATTGGCTCCTGCATTTAAGATTTTCTGGATTTTCTCCTTGGTGATATCAGATTCCCTGAGGAAGAAAGATTAAAAAAATTATTTAATATTAAAAAAAAATTTAAGTCTGATATTTAACCTATTATTTAAAGGTCAGATTTTTCGTTACCTCAAAAAAAGTTTTATCTACCTTAACTCCAACTTAGGGAGAGAAAAAACACAACAAAAATTGTTGTTAATGAACCACACAAAAAAAAGGCTGAAATGTGAGTAACACATGCAAATTGTCCAGGCAATTTTTTTTTTAAAATTATATCTATTTCACTATTACAGGAAAGCCTGAGAGCTACAAATTTCCATTGATTTACCAATGTTCTCTATTTCCATATAAAACATTAGCTAAGAAAGCTTCCCCTCTTCTTTAACCTAATGACAGTAATTATTAATATAAACTGGTAGAAAGTTCATAATTGTAAATTATTGTAATATTACTTTGAATTGAAATAACTTGTATTCTATATCAGCGTTTCCCCAAAAATTTTAAGTTTGGTGGACCTGTGCACAAGTTTTGAAATTGTCCCATGGGCTGGTGCCAAATTTATTAATTATATTTTGTTTTTATTTGACTATATATATTCACGCTGTGTGGACCAGCAATATAAGGCACATGGACCTGCAATGGTCTGCCAATTGTTGGGGGAATGCTGTTCAATATAGTATGCAGCAGTTCTTTGATAAGTGTATCACCTATGCCAGCGTTTCTAAATTTTTTTTTGCGAGGCTTGGTCATTTTAATACTTCTGCTTTATGATCAACTTTTTACAATTTTTATCATTTATATTACCATAGTGGTAACACAAAATGTATTTGAAAGGCGCTACTGTTTTCTTCTATTATTATAAAGAACTATTTTCTTCAACTTCAAAATATTTTTTTTACATAAATTAAACTAAAAGCTGAAAAATGATTACAGTAAATTGTGATGATTTTCTTGTAAACTACATTGACCTATATGCAGGCTATGTAAAAATCAGATGAAGTTTTCATAATTATTAACATATTTTGTACTTTAATTTACAATTTTGAATATAAATGAATTTTCTTTAAGATACATATAAATCAAATTTTTGTTAATGTTAAATTATTATTTACAAGGGAAAAACATTCAAAAATTATAAAAATGTTCCAACTTACCTTCAAGTTTGGAATTCCAAAAATATTTAATTACTATTTACACTTCTAATAATTTATGCACTTCGCACCCAATTTAGAGAGACAAAAATTGTATAAATTAAAAAACATATCAAACTTATTTACAGTATGTTGCTTTTGGTAATCATAAGTTGCAATGTAAAATACTTGCTAACTACCCTCAAAATAGCTGACTGTCTCTTGTGTTTTTTAATTGACTACCTGCCAGTAAATTAAAATATTGAACCAAAATGAAAGTTCGAATATAATTATATAGCCAGTTTTACTATGAAACTAACAGTGATGCTCCCAGCGGCACCTGGACATGATAAGGAATGTTTGGCAATAACAGCAGCTTTTGGAAGTTAACTTGATAGTTAAGTCTTAAATGACTACGGTACTTATGTTAATAATCCCAGAACTTGAATTTTTGTTTTTAAAGAAGACTAATACAGACTTCATTTGTTAAAGAAGATTCAAACTCATTTATAATCAAATTTAATGAAGGTTAATTTTAAAGATGTAGACAATGTCAGACATTAGAACCAGATTTAGACAGCTCATTTATAAAACTAACATTGTCCAAAACTTCATGTTCCCCATAGTATATACTAATTCAGCTAAATAAAGCTGACAAGCAAGTTGTAAGGGGATACTCAATTAGTCGCTTTTCATCCAAAACTTTCAGCTTAAACAGTATTAAAGGTTCTTTACCTTTTTCTCATTAGTTCAAGTTGCGCTGGGTCTTCCACTAAAATCTGAACTCCCAGTTTCATTTTAGTCTTCTGTAGACTAAAGTCTAAACAAGCAATCTTGGCATTTGGCATACTCTTGGGCATGGCTATAAGAAACACATTTAATAATTCAATCACATATAATTCTGAAAAATAATGTTTCTAGAGCTTATGCCAAAGAATTTGATAAATTTAACATTTCACAATCTATAATTAATCAAAATAGTCAATTTTAAATAAGTAAGTTATAAATCATAAGACCAGATTTTAAAATTAGAAATGAATTATTTATAATGAACAAACCTTGAGAGGCAACAGTACAGTTTAGGGCATATCCATTCACTAAAATACTCTCCCTTGAACTTTTGCCATGCGCCTTGAGAACATTAACTGCATTAATTGGATATCTATAGCCCCCCTTTCCATCTGGAGTTTTTATGGCATTGGCAGCATCAACTACCATATTTGCAAAGAAATCAGCATCACTGTACATGAGGTTAAAGTAAATAATTGTTTATAAATAAGGAAAAAAAAGTTAACAAGAGTCAATGGTAGTATGGCACTCAAAAAAATTAAACAAAACAGTGATGGTGATATAAATCTTATAAAACAGCTTCTTTGATCAAGGTGTAAAAAGGATACGGCCCAATAATTTTACTGGACATGCTGGTTTTTGCAGCATTGACAATGGAGTCACGACCCAAATCATCCACAGAGATAGTCAAATGGTCCTGGATGTACTTAACAGCCTCTCTATTGAAAAATGGTAAAGTAATAAACAAATGCACAATCTGTTTAAATCCATAAGCAATATAATAAGACATTTTAAAACTAATACAATTTAGTTTGATGTTCTAAAATATAATGCATGTGGTTGCTTAGTGAAAATTGTCCTACTTGCAAGCCAGTCTATAACCACCAATGATAGATGTAGGATGAATTTTACACTTGACCAGCTCATCTGCATTTTTTAATAATTCAGCAGCAATTATGACCTAAGGAAATAAATATAAAATGCAATTACTATTTTTAAACTTACAGATTTAGTGGGATAATTAATAACAGTCATTAACTGTTTCCTTAAGAATTAGTTATTAAAAATATTAAAATTTCAAGTTTATAAGCCTCAGATTCATCTCCATAAAAATCGTTAAACACTCATACACAACAGCATACCACGCTAGTTGTCCCATCTCCAACCTCCTGATCTTGCAAGTCAGCCAGCTCTACAAGTACTTTGGCAGCTGGGTGTTCCACTTCAAGCAGTTTCAGAATGGTGGCACCATCATTGGTAATAGTGACATCCTTAATAGAAATAAAATAAATTTGTATTTATAAAATTGTATGGGGTCATTTCCTTAAACCCCTACACTACTGCTCATTACTCTTATTAGCTTTTTGGCTATTGTTGATTGTGGATAGCATGTGTAAAGAAAATTTCAAGTGTTTTGGTTTAAAAAATTATTTAAAGATCGACTATAAATTTTGATTACCGGTATGGTAATCTACCACTTCAGGGTCGTTAATGAAAAAAAAAACAGGTTCTGGTTGGAAGTTCTATTTAAACGGTTATTGTTTTGACAAAATAAAAAAAATGTATTGATTATTAATGGAAATGTTTTCTATGTCATAGTAATTATTAATTTTAGCGCACACATAAAAGACAACATTTTTAACAATTTAACGTATGAAAATAAATTGGTGATTGATGTAATAAAGGTTGAAAATATTACTCTGATGTTGATTCAGTGATTTTATGATTTCAAATGCAGAGGCTGATTCTGTTGAATCGTATAATTAAAATCCTAGTACTTGTATTAGTAGTACTAGTGACGAAATAATGAAATTTGTAATTCATCAGCTGATCAACTCCCCAGCTAAAGTGCACAACCAGCCCCTCCCCCAGCTAAAGTGCACATCCATATGGATTGTTTTTTAGGCTTACCATAGCTAAACCAAGTTGAAAAGATATGACAAATTTATGTTAAATTTTCCATTTACCATAATAAATGTTAGTAAATACAAGAATACAGTGCTAATATTTTATAACAACAACAAATTGTTTCCAGTGGAAATAGTTATTATTATCACAAATTTTGTGTGTGGCGGTGACAATGGATAATGTACTATGTGACGGTGACAATGGATAATGTACTGTGTGATGGTGACAATGGATAATGTGCCCTGGTGTTTAATTTTTTGTGTGACTGTGACAATGAATAATGTGCTGTGTGACGGTGATAATGGATAAAGTGCTGTGTGACTGTGATCTTTATTATTTGTAATGCACATATGGATATAGTTCAGAAAAACAATTTTTTTTGTTACACTTTGGATTATATATTTCTCTTCTTGTGAGACTTGGAATTAGCGTTTTGTGAACAGTTGGTAAGTTGTTGTTTTTTGTTTGTTTTTATTTCCCCTTAAATCATAATCACATTTATATATTAAAATTTAAACCCAAGTCTGGTTTGCTTATAAAGGGCATACATTCCCCTTTAATTCCATACCAAACTTACCATTTTCTGATGAAAAAAAAAAAGGTATGATGGTTTAGAGATGGGATAGTAGTGCCAAACAAATATGCAAAATTTGATAATTCGTCAGAACGTTTTTTTTTGTAGTTGTATATTCCTGTTTTTAAGTTTTATCAAAACGATATAGTATAAAAATGTGAAAACTCACCCCTATGTCATCCACCAACATTTTATCAAGTCCTACAGGTCCCAAACTACTCTTTACTATGTTGGCAATAGACATAGCAGCAAGAACTAAAAAGAAAAAAGTTTTTTTTTTAAATATCAAAACCAATATTTGCACAAAATTTGATAACAATTAACCATGGTAGTGGTAGACTGTTACAAAAATCAGAGAAAGAACTCAAAATTAGTATCTAAGTATGAACCGGTCTAAAACTCAAACAGATTCTGTACGGTATACCTATGCCTATATTATATATGCAGGCAAATTATGTTGATTATATATATTATAATATGGACTCTGTTCCACCAGGTTTTTAAACCTCAAATAAAAATATTATTGTTTAAATTACCTATAAGTAAAATTTCATTTTAATATACTTTATATTAACCATATCGTTTATGACGTGAATAATGCTCAACAAAGAACAGGAATATTATCACATGCATCGTTCAGGTTGTACAATGAATAGGTCTATCAGCCTAAGTGCAGTGTTGGGATTCCCTAAAGTGACGTCACTTTGAATGAAATTTTCCATTAATAATTAATTTGTATTAAAATTCAATGAACACGTTTCAAAAGAAAGGAAAAAAGGAACACATCCTTTCTGATACCCAATAGCATTGAAAAAAAAGACGCCTGCCAAAATTGATGTATTTTGATTAGTTGAAAATACCCGTATGTTGAAACTTAGGTAACAAAAGACTACTGCTTAAATTGCATTTGGAATGATCTTCAAGGAAATGGGGAGGGGAGAGACCCCTCCCAAAGTTAACAAAAAATTTAAAATAGGCACCTCGATGCCGCCCGCGCACAGTTTGCGCAGGTCCGAAAATAACGCAAAAACTTGTGCTGCAATATAATATACGGCATAGCGAGGGTGTCTTTTTTTGCGTTGTACGTCACAGTTTGCTAATAATAGTATTTAAATTATTGGTGACGTAGAGCACATATTTTTCCGAACACGGGAATACCATATTTGGTATTCCGGTATCGCATTTAATTTTTTCATCGGTATGTATGTTAATTGCTTATTACTTTTTAATGTAAAATTCAAACGCATAGTGGCTTAACTCAATACTGCTTCATTCATTCACACAGTTAAATAACTTTACTTCATTAAAATTAGCCTAAACGCACAAAAGTTATGCCAATCCAACTGGAAGGTGTAAGAAAATAAAATTGTTAGTAGTCACCCGAGCCCCCCCCCCCCCCCCCCAAAAAAGTGGGCTTTCGAAAATGGTTGTTATTACCAATTTAACTTAAAGATATTTTCATTGATTCAAAATAGTTCATCTTTGATAATCCATGGTAGACTAATTACTGTTTTACAATATTATTAGAAAGAAGTACAATTTAATAAATTAAATAATTTTAAATAAATTAATTGTAGTTTGTGTAGTCCGGTGAATTTCGGGACTTGATTTGTCCCTTGATTTATATAATTATTATGTGCATTAGTAGTAATACTACTAGATATGTAGTAATAGTAATACTACTAGTAAATGCTAGTTATTAGTGGTATTTATAAATTATAATTAATGATAATAACACAATAAAGGCAGTTGTTACTACTATTAAAAATATACTATTATCAAATGTAATTCCAATAAAATATGGTTATGCATTCTGATACTGATACACTTCTAAGTCTAAAATTAATTTTTTTTCTTACATATATTTTTATGAAAATTGCGTCCCTGTGACTTGTTTAAAATTAAAATTAGATAATCTATGAATTAGTCTAAAACAAGTTTATCAAAATAAATAAATAAGACTCAACATCATCATAGTAATTATATTAAACTAGGACAGAGGCATAAGAAAATGTTAACATTTATATCAACAATAATATATTTCTAATTAAATAAACAAAACAAAAAAAAGAAATAAATTTAATAAAAACATCACTTGAATAATATTAAAAAGAAACTAAAAATTGTATTATAGATTCAGAAATATGATTAGTATTTAATGTTAAGCTTCTTTTGGGTGCAAGAGAAAATTTTAACTTTCTGTTGCAAACTTGGAATTCCTTCCATTTCCAATAAGGCGGAACGTTTGGATGCAGAGGGCGGCGACAAAGTTTATGAAGGAGAGATTTGTGGGTTTCATCAACAAGACAAAGAAGTCCCTCTAGGGCATTCTATCCGGAAAATGGCAGGCAGAAGATCCCCATTACCTTTTAATAATTAATGACATACTCCTGTATGGGTATGCTTTTAATTAGTTTTATGGGTGATATTAGTATTTTTTATTTATTATTACATGCGTTCAATTTTATATATAAAAAAGACTACTTACCTTTTTATAAATATACTAATTGATTTTAAAATTTAACACAAGCATAATAAAATTAGATAAAATTCAATAAACATGTTATTTTTTTCATTTTTTCCTTTATAAATATTGATTTTCCCAAATTTTCTGTTCACTTTTTTCTGAACATACCCTCAAATAAATATATTAAAAAAAAAAAGTCTTGATCTTATATAAAGTTTTGTTGTTTATTGTGTTGTATATTGCATTGAGAATGTCTCCTGAAAATTTGGTAGCATTATCTTTTAAAATAAAAAAGTTGTGTACAAAATAAAGCAGAAATGTGGAAAGTTGGTGACAAGTTTTTTTTGTTAAATACAAAGATAAACTAACAAGGGGGGTTAAAAAATTAACACAAAAAAATCATAACTTTTTTTACATAACAGATAGAAAGATGAAATTGGTGTTTTTGCAAAGCTTTTAGCTAGCCCTTTAAAATGGTTATTCATTGGTGGCTATTGGACAATATTTAAAATTTGTGTCAAAGTATCTATTTAAAATAAGAAAACAATCACTTAATCACTTGCATTATGTAAATACAAACATCTTAGTTCGTATGGCACTGTAGACAGTGCTGTAGACGGAAATGGACCTGGGGAAATCTCCGTGGAACACATCGTCGGCCTTACCGCTAACTCAAAACCAGCCATACAACTGCACTGTAGACACTGTAATTAGGTACTTTGACACAAAATTTAAATATTGTCCGATAGCCATGAATGATAAATCATTTTAAAGGGCTAGCTATAAGCTTTACAACAACACCAATTTCATCTTTCTATCTTTTATAGAAGTGGAGTTATGATTTTTTTGGTGATTTTTTAAAACCCCTTTCTTTATCTTAGTATTTAACTGAAAAAACGTTTGACCCACTTTACAAATTTCTGCCTTATTTTGCCCAAAACTTTTTGATTTTAAAAGATAATGCTACCAAATTTTCAGGACACATTCTCAATGCAATATACAACACAATAAACAACAAAACTTTTATATAACATCAAGACTTTTATTTTTTAATATATTTATTTAAGGGTATGTTCAGAAAAAAAGTGAACAGAAAAATTGGGAAAATCATTATTTTTACAGGAAAAAACGAGAAAAAAAAACATGTTTATTGAATTTTAACTAATTTTATTATGCTTGTGTTAAATCTTAAATCAATTATTCTATTTATTAAAAGGTAAGTAAGTCTTTTTTATATATAATATTGAACGCATGTAATTATAAATAAAAACTACTAAAATAAAATCATCCATGGCATGTCCATGCCATGATGATGAGACTAAGTTCAAAAATGTTATTTGATATATTAAATAATTGTCCGTGTACTGCTTTTCTATGTCCTAATAAAAATATAATTGCTACGATGATGTTGTTTGAGTATTGTTAATGATGTATATTAATAAAACTTTTATATATTATTAGGGGTGTGCCGGATCCGTTTTTTTCCAACCGGATCCGGATTTTCTTATGCGAAATCCGCCGGATCCGGATTCCGGTACTATTGGTAATACTTCGGTAAGTCAAGGTAGAATACTGCTTTTTGTGTATGGGAATTCGCAATCGGCGCCAAAAAATCAGAGTTTTTAATTTTCCGATGTGTGTGTCTATTTATTATTAAATTAGTACTTTCGATATATATTTGAGTTCCGTTTTCGGCCTTATAATTAGGTAGACATCTTGGCCTACATTTTAATCAATTACTTTTTTCATTTATCATCAGTCAGCTTTGAGAAAATCCTTGGTAAATATAAGGCAACTTTCATCATTAAAATTAAGTCGAAGGAAAAAATTTGTCACTACCAAATTTTTTTTGCATCTGGGGAATCTATTGATCTACACGTATGCCAATTTTCACAGCGATAAGTGTCTTACGAGAGACGCTATGTTTCTACGCGTTCGCAGCAGGTCATGCAGCTCGCTCAACCTAATTTCGCCATGGGGTGGGCCACGCCCCCTTTTTAATGGCGGAAGTTGCCGATACTTAGGAAATATTAATTTATTACCACTATTTACATCAAAATAATTGATAACTTGTGTTTCAGAATGCATTTTGAAGACATTTAAACTGGAATGTTTTAATTTGAGCTTTAACAACCCGGTAGAATCCATATTATAAATGATCAGAATTTACCGTGTGCAACACGTTGTCATTGGCAACCATTCACAGCCACTTGCATAACTGTATCGTAGTACTACCTCAGAGTTTCATTCATAAGAGTTTGCCGTGTGCAAAAACTATTAAACCATTGGTCAGGGAAAGCTTTAATTAATTATTCATGTGCCAAAGTTGAAAGTTTAAACTAAGTCTAAACAGTATTTTAGTGATAAGGCAGGGAATGCATTGCCTTATATAAACTATATAGTCATTGCGCATGACGCGATCAGTGGAATGAGGTCACAGAATGTGGAGATGCAGTCCATGTTAAAAAATGACAAACCAAGTCGTACTTTAAAAATTCATAACTTTAAAACTACAACAGCTAAAAATATGATTTTGGTGTTATAATTCTTTAAAAAATTACCTCTTTTCAACTATGCCATTGGTTTATTTTTACAAAAAGTTTAAATTTTCTTATCAAAGTATTGGCCACTATTAGCGGTGCTGACTCTAGCCTCTGGTATGTTCGGAATATTAAACATTAAACAAGCTCAACGCTCGAAACAATCGATTAATGTATCGTGATTGTGTGGAATTCGGGAAAGAGAATTACTTTTATTTCAGATTATGATCCGGTGAGTCACAAAATCTGGCAAATTCCGAAATCCGGTATATTCCGGATTCCGGTTGTTCCGGATACATGTAAATCCAGCGGAACCGGATTTCACCGGATAGTGCAAAATCTGGCGGAACCGGATTCCGTCACACCCCTATATATTATTAATATTTAATTATTCTTTTTAAATTAGAACTATTTTAATTTCTCTTTACCAATTTTTGAAATTATCAATATGATAACAATTTGAATATGTAAATTAGGCCTTATGTAGTATTAGAAAATTTGTATTAGTATTAGCTTATAAAACTTTGGGGCTTAATATTAATAGTTATAATTATATTAGATATTAATATTAGTAAATAGTACCGGTACTTAAAACTTAGGCTTAGTGAGATAGTGGCTAAGCTTAGAAGAATAGACTTATAAATTATAGTTAAATTCTAGTAGTAGGTCTATAAATAGTAGGTGGGAGAAAACTTATATTAGATTTTATGTATATTTTCGATTTCTGTATTCTAAAATTACAATTTACTTAGATTTATTCAAATATTAAAAGATTATGGAATATTAAAACTCTCTTTTCACTGATACCTAGAGCGAATTTAGTTTCCGGTGAAGATATAAAATATGGAGAAATTTATTTTTTCCCTCCCGTGATGAGAGCGTAATGAAAATAAGAAAGGTTTATATTAACCTAGAAAATAGAATATGGACTATTTCAAAGTTATTCCCCATGCCATTTGAATGCTTAACTCGTTTTTAAAGGTTTTAATGTCATTTTATTGCTAAAACGGAGTATTTATACATTTTTATAGCTTACCGTACGGTCAAAGTGACACAAAAAAAGAACAGAGATAAAGCATGTTGGTCTAAAGATATGTGCCTCACCGGAAGAAAAATATTTATCGTAATTGATGACAAAATAAATGTAAAAATAGGAAACTGTGACGTGAAACGCATAAATCCGAGGTCACCGTAGATGCGATTGTAAGATGGCCACTTCAGTTTTTGCGTCTTTTTTCCATATGCGCAAACTGAATGCGCAAGCGTTTATCGATATGCCTACTGTAGTACAGTAGTCCTGAGTAGTCACTGAGTAGTCATAGTTAAAACCACACTAGATACTTCGATAAAACAAGGGAGACTACTACTTTTTTTGTATCGGAAATGGGCGTCGGCGCCGAAAAATCCGAGTTTTTAATTTTCCGATGTGTGTGTCTATTTATTATTAAATTAGTTCTTTCGACATATATTTGAGTTCTGTTTCCGGCCTTATAATTTGGAAGACATCTTGGCCTACATTTCCATCCAGCTATTTTGCTTTTTTCAATCGATCTTCATTTTGAAAATCTTTGGTATATATAAGGCATCTTCGAATACAAAATTTTTTGTGAAATAAAAGGAACATGTCTTTCATATTAAATCGTGTAAGGCATTAGATATTGATATATATCTGTGCCAATTCTCATTGATGTAGGTCGTGTCCCACGTTCGCTACGCTTCTCCCAGTGACCCATATCACCATAAAGGGGCTCAGCCTTATTTCGACATTGTGTGGGCCACGCCCCCTTTTTAATGGCGGAAGTTGCCGATACTTAAGAAATATTTAATTATTACCACTATATACATCAAAATATTTGATAACTTGTGTTTCAGAATGCATTTTGAAGACATTTAAACTGGAATGTTTTAATTTGAGCTTTAAAAACACTGTAGAGTCCATATTATAAATGATCAGAAATTTCCGTGTGCAACACGTTGTCATTGGCAACCATTCACAGCCACTTGCATAAGGGCTATATCGTAGTACTATCTCAGAGTTTCATTCATAAGAGTTTGCCGTGTGCAAAAACTATTAAACCATTGGCCATTGGTCAGGGAAAGCTTTAATTAATTATTCATGTGCCAAAGTTGAAAGTTTAAAATAAGTTGACCCTAAACAGTATTTTAGTGATAAGGGAATGCCTTAGCCTTATATAAACTATATAGTCATCGCGCATGTCGCGATCGGCGGAATGAGGTCACAGAAAGTGGAGATGCAGTCCATGTTAGAAAAGGACAAACCAAGTCGTACTTTAAAAATTCATGACAAACCAAGTCGTACTTTAAAAATTCATAACTTTAAAACTACAACAGCTAAAAATATAATTTCGGTGTTATAATTCTGTAAAAATTTAGCTCTATTCAACTATGCCATTGGTTTATTTTTACAGAATGTTTAAATTTTTGACCAAAGTATCTAACCACACTCTCTCCTTTTGTCATTTACTCTCCCCAATTTAATCCCTGTGTTTTGCACTCCTTTTTTTGAAGCATCTGTATAATAAACTGCCTTCTCTCTAATGGGATATTAATGCATATAATCGCGTACTTAAAACACCGCTGATTGCGTTAAGATTAATTCAGTCTATTGAATTCTGGAACGTTCCTAAAATTCCTAGGACTAGTCCAGAACTCTCGTCTCTGTCAAAAAAGGTCCATTTCACAAAAAACTTGTTAAAAGCTAGTTTAGTTGCTATGTAGTAAATATACCCAAACTTTATAACATATAAAATTATAGAATATTTAATGTACCATTTTGAGTCCGGACAGACTGTCCAGTTGTTCTGTTGCCACCCACAGTTAATGCAGTCGTTGTGTTCGCCATGATGTATCACGCTTAGCGGCACCGAAAGGAAGTGACATCATTTTTTGCAGGAATTTTTTCTGGATTTATGCTATATTAGTTTCGATTTATACTTTAAAATAAAATGCTAAACCACTAAATCGATTTAATATTCTGAAAGGCAAATGAAATCAATCAGTAAAATAGACGAACAGAGATTCAACAAAAAAAAGGACAGCAACATATAATGACAAAATATCAATTATACACTCATTCATGGGTACATAAAAATTCCAGGTGCCTTAATTATTATCCTTTGGAAATAGGTGTAACAAGGTTTAAGAAAACCTGAACGGGATACAAATTGTACAAGAGGCCAATCTAATCTTATATCGTATGCAGTGGAGTAGCTAGGGGTTGCGGACTGCACAGAGTGACACCATCTCAGGGGTGACACCAAATTGAAAAATTGCATATTTACACAGCACACACTGCTCGGTTTAACCGAATTTCATAAAAGGATAACCCACCACACCCACATTTTCCACACACGTAACCAACCCAAGTGCGTGCATTATTAAAACTTCAAGGTTGATGCGTCAGAAATGAGTTGACCCCATAATTTGTTCAGAAAAAAAAAACATTTTGACCACAATCCAACGCCAATGAAGTGTTCGTTAACATTCGTAAAGTGACACGAAGCTATAGTTATCTAAATTCTGAGAAATAAAGCTTTCCATTGATACCTAATGTGATGTGTTAGTGCGATTCTAGGTACAAGAATCGAATCGGTAAAAATTAAAAACATTTTTAAAAATTACTTTTACCAATTTTTTCGTTTTAAAAAAAAGTATTTTTTTATAAAACTTTCTTATATCTTTTAGTAATTAATTAAAATTTATTTTTTTTTAAAATAAAAATTAGGTGTTTGAAACAAAATATATCGAAACCCAGAAATACTCAAAAATAAATATTTTCGCCGATTCGTTGATCTACTTGAGGAACTTAACCTTACACAGCAGTATCTGCAGACCAAAGGCTTTACTCTTGACAACGTGATGACCAACCTAGAGGCTTTAAGATTGTTTCTGCACGAGAAGCTGTCACTTGGTGGCACATGCTATTGATAAGGCACCTTTAAAATGATACCAATATGGAATTTCGGTAGAGAGAAGACGAAAGTTTAAGAGGAGAATGGCAGGATAGCTAATAGATGCTGGACTCTCTCTACGAGAAGAAAACAGTAGAGAGATGCTGGAGTGCATTTATCGCTTTCATTCTGATCAGATCATCAGCGATAAAGGAAGTAGCAGATATGTTTGAGGCTTTTCAACCCAAGAGTCTTCCATCAGCAAGTCAGTGGAGAAGAGTTATTGGTGCCCGTTCCAAAATTGTATGTTGGCTTGTATTGTCCATTGCTGGAGGTGATGAAAGACTTCGACTGGTTATATCTGAAATTTTATGTAGATGTTTCATTGTTGCGTTTTTAATTTTAATGTGGAAAAAATATCTTGTTCTATATGTTGACCTTGTACCGCGCTTTGAGCCTTTAATAGGGATGAAGCATATTTTTGTTTTTTTTAAATGAACACTACTATTATTTATTATTATTATTATTATTATTATTATTATTATTATTATTATTATTATTGCGTACGCAAAAAAGTATATTTTCTTTTTTTTNGATGTGTGACATGTTTTCACCGCTTGTTTTTTTTTTTTTTTTTGGCGAGCACAGTGGTTCCCAGAATATACACCGCATTACCATGGGTGCCGCGTGAATGGGGTGAAGATCAAAATCAGGGGGCGCCAATATATACTTTTGACAGGACCTTAATAGTTAATTAAACTTGAATTCCTTATACTTCACAATGACAAGGGCGTTAAAAAGTTTCTTTTTAATGGTCCTCCCGGGGAAAAAGGGGGGAGGGGGGATACATATTTTTCTATATGGGTTGCTGCGGCTTTCTCATGTGGGGATTCTGATCTTCATCGAATGTTTCCCCTGGTGGTGGATAGGGGAAAGCCCACCAGATATGGTGGAGAAATAAACACCCAGTGCGGACCAACATCAAAAGCTACATCCTTTTAGGAAGTGGAGGGACCCATAAAGGCTAGAGAACCTTAACCGAACATTAAGTCAGCTACCCAAAGAGCTGTAAGGGGCAGCCCCACAGATGGCTGTGCGCAGGGCTAACAAATTTTACGAATATAATATCCCATGAGTGCATCAACTCTATGTAGACTTTAAAATGGTCCTAAGACAGCATCACAAGAAAATATCAATATGTGAGACGCTGCATGAGTTTGGCATACCCAACAAACAAGACTGATATACGTAATATTAAACAACACAAAAGGCAAAAATCAAGGTTCAGGGTGAATATTCAATGGAATTTCAGATTAGACAAGACCTAAGACAAGGAGACTCGCTGTCTTCTATGCTATTTAGCCTCTTGGAGAAAGTTGTAAGAAGCATACACACTGACACCCGATGAACAAAAAAATGCTATTTTCTGAGGGAAACCGATACCCATAAGCAATAACCATAACAAAATTTCTACATTTCTTTTGATATTCCGATTTTCATTTAAAATAGCTCTGCTTGCCACTGCCAGGGCTGGCATGCTTGCCACTGCCAAGTCTGGCATCCTTGCCACTACCAAGTCTGGCATGCTTTCATCAATAAAATATTATCAAAGCACATTTTGGCGCCGCTAACTAGTTTGGGGCCCGGGGACATCTGCCCCCCTGCCCCTCCTTGCTACGCCTCTAACATCAGTTGAGGGTCACAGCGTTGAGTCGGAAAGCTAAGGGTACATCCGAATAGAAGGGTGTGGTGGAGCAGCAGGCCAGGGTATTCAATAACGTATCACACCTTTTTAGTACGATATTTCAGGCGGGTTAGGGGTGGACCTCTGGAAAATCCCTGCCCAGCACCATAAGCTCTCGGTGGTGTTACACGGGATCTTGTCTCTCCGTGGCGTGCCTGACTAGTAAGGGGGACTTCTCCTTCTGAAGCTAAAAGATCCCAGGCAAAACGCATGATTTCCAACGCAACGGAAGTTTAAGTGCTAACATGATTACTTGTTGCCGTTGATGGGTATGAGGCAATGGGTGGCCGCCCAAACCCTTGCTTATGATTAAAAATACGTGGCCCTGAGAAAGCCGCCCCTAGGCGACCGTTTCGTCCCCGCTACGTCCAGTCCGAACCACTCCCCGAACGGTGGGTAGAGGTAACGCAACGCCTCCCCCGGAGAGGAAGTTAAAGCCGTTTTGACCCATCACAGTCCAGACCGAACCGCTCCCGGGTAGCGGGTTTGAGGCAACGCAACGCCTCCCCGGGGGGGGAAACAATTCGTTGGGAACCAATTGTTCGCACAACTCTTAGGAACGGTGGGAGAAAGTTAAGCTCGTGACTACTCCCGGAGTGGAAGCAAAGCCGTCCCATACCAAGGAACGTACAGCTCCCTGGGCGGTGGGGGTGGCAACGCAACGCCATCTCCGGAGAGGAAGCAAAGCTGTTCCAACCCTACGTCCCGACCGTAAGACTCAATGGGCAAGGGGGGCTGTGACGCAAAACTGTCCCCTCATGAGTGGAAGCCACCTGGCCAAAACCCCGTTACTCAAGGCCGAGTTGCATGGCCGGAGTCCCCAGGGACTACTAGGCTATGTTTCACGGCCAGAGGTCCTAAGAGATGGAATCTCAACCTCCGAGTATTGATCTTTATTAGTACAATATTTAATATTATGCTTGAGCTTGATGCTTAAATATAGTACATTTTCTGAACTCAGTCACAAACTAGAGTGGACAATGGAAAAGGGAGGCCTTTTGTTTTTGTTTTGAATAAACATTTCAAATATTCCCAGAATCAAGTCAAGTTGAGACACCAAAATTGGTCTTGGTCAGTGTTATTTAATGTTATACAGCGACGCATGAGTCAACGACACGCAGTCCAGGAAGGTTAACACACAGAAAGGTTTGGATTGATGTGTTAAAACACATTTCTTCATTGCAGTGGTTCTCAACCTTTCTTATGCCGCGATCCTTTAATACTATTCCCCATGTTGTGCCGACCCCAACCACAAAATTATTTTCGTTGATAATATATAACTGTATAGTATGTGTTTTCAGGTGGACTTAGGCGACCCCTGTGAAAAGGTCGTGCTACCCCCCAAAAGGGTCGCGACCCACAGGTTGAGAACCGCCGCTTTAGTGTGTCATAAAACAAACGTGTAATTGCCGCACGCCGACAAGACACAACGAAACCAAACTCGTATAACTTGGGACACAGTTCATCTTAGTACAGACCTGAGCTGTCTGTTCGTAGCTTTAGTTTTATTCTTTATCAATTTAAATAAGCCTATATTTGTAAAAAAAAATAATTATATATATATATATATATATATATATATATATATATATATAAAAGCAACATCGTGTCATACTTCAAACGTGTATCTTGCCTGCAGGTTAACCGCCATGGTTTTAAGAAATAGCTTATAAAATATAACTCGCCCACACACATATTTTTGTAATGTCTTCGTAAATATACAATGCAAAGTTGATGTTGTAATCAATCCTGTTCAGGTAAGTTCTAGGCGACATTTATCATTAAACTGTCCATCGATGACTGTAGACCGACATGAGACAGATGTTGATTTCGTAGTCTCCAAACAATTTCCGAATTCAGTTCGCGTCATGCTAATGTTTCAGTCCGCCGTTCTGTTTAGGCCGCACCTAATCTTCAACTTGGCCATCGCGCGCCTAATCAACTTCCTCCACCCTTGGTCCACTCTGGTGACTCGACTGGGCGTTGCCGTGCAACTTGACCATGATCGGCGAGCAGGTTTTCTGCAAATCCTTCAGTCGGTCTTCGATCTCCTCCTTTTCAGCCAAAGAATTATTATCCAGCCACTTGATCATCGCGGCGCATGCGTTGAGAGCGGTGTTCTTGTCAGACGTGGAAAGTTTGTCCCCAGCCGCCTCCACGGCCTGCTTAACCGAGTAGATGTAGTTCTCCAGCTGGTTCTTGGTCAAGGCGCGCTCCGACTGGCGGGCGTCTTCGG